ATGTACTGATTATTGACTGTATGATTTCGCCAACTCAACCGGGGTAGTAACACAATATGCAATATCTCTGCCATCCATGATGACTCCGTGGCCCAGTTGACAAGGTATTGGCTTCGGCGTCAGGGTTCGTGGGTTTGATTCCCACACGGGACAATTATTTGTGTGACCCACAGATTATTTGTGTGACATCAGTATGTATGCGTGAGAGCCGTGATAGCTCAGTTTCCGGGCGCTCGCCTTTAATTACATTTACTCGAGCAACCTGAGTTCGATCCCCGGTGCCAGAACCTATGAATTTGGTAATTTTAAGTTAATTTTAACTTATCATGTGCTCCGGCGGTGAAGGAAAACATCGCAAAAATATTTCGAAGATATGTGAAGTCCGCCAATCCGAAGTGGGGCCGCGTGGTGGACTATACCCTGATACCCTCTGTATAGAGGAGGCCTTTGCCCAGCAGTGGGACATGTATAGGCTGTTACTTTACTTTATTTACTTTACAGTATTTTACAAAACCAGTTGACTTAGCTAAGCATTGTTCACAAATATATAATGTACTTTTTATTTAAACATTAAATAATTACTTTAAAAAACTTTTAAGTTAAACGGTTTTATTTTATGTTTTTTTTTTTGTTAAATTTTTTTTTGTTAATATTGTATTGTCATCTAAATTAAATGTGTGTACCAAATTTCAGATCAATCTGACAACGGCAAGGTGCTTAAATTTCAATTTCTAATTTTGACCCAAATAAATAAACAAACAAATTCCGTACGGGTCGAGCTAAATAAAACCGTTTAATAAAAATAGACAGTATTATCAAATCTATTCGCACCATTTTCATGTTTCTATCGTTAAATCATCAATTTTTGAGTCAAATAAGCACGGTAAAGCGTTAATAGCCAAGACGCAAATGTAATAAAATATAAAGGATGGTAATAATTTACAATCTGAACGAGTATAGTAATAAGCGTAACTACTTGTAAATGCTTGCATGTATGTACCTATATACATTTTTTTAAATAATCCATTCATGTAAAGAAAACATTACAATGAACAGGTAACATGTTTCTGTACGTTTCCGCGTTGCGGTTTTTGTTCTTTTCGTATGAATTCGTCGGTACACGAAAGAAATTCTGGCCCCCTCTAATAATATCTCGACGTCGATTTCGCGGATCGCGACAGCGGCCAATGGTTCATATTTATCTACGGCCCGAACAATATTTATGGCCGCCCTGAAAGAGCTGCTCGATTTCCCCATGTCCTCTTTCATATTTAAAGTTCGGCTGCTTTATGGCAATGTATATCGAACGGGAAGGGGAATGGATAATGGCTGTGGCATGAATAAAACAATTCGCGACACATGTCCGTACGCCGCAGACGTGTCACCTGGATGCAGTTATAGAAGCGGTAAATCAGTGACTTTATAGATGGAGGGATATAGATGGAGGGATAAATAAATATATAGAAGACACGCGTATATTGACAGGGAAGAGGTATAGAATAGTATAAATATATGGAGGTAGAGATATAGAACAGTGAACGCAGATAACTTATTGAGCACATTCACTACACGTCAGGTCATCGGCTGCTTAGCTTAGTTGGTAAGTTTAAAGCGACGAAAGTTTTTGTTAATTTGTCTACAAAATAAAATATAATTTTAGTACTACTGTTAAATTATGATTTTGTTTAAGACAGCGGCTGAGGTATCGATTCACCTGGTGAGGACTGTCGTGTATGAATATCGACAAGACCAAACATACTCTGGCTTTAGGCCGGTTTTCTATCAAGCCGCGGTATTTTCCCGTATCGCGTTTTCACATTGATTTTGTAATTCCCGACGTTTCGAACCCTTTCCAGCGTTCATGGTCACGGGACAGACTAAGTTGTTACACGTCTTGTTGTCAAAGTTAAAAAAACGCGATAAAATCCGTAAACTAGTTTCATTTAATAAATAGATAGTTTATTAGCAAGGCTTAAAATTAAACCTACATAAAACATATACATTCTACACTGCATCTTGTCACGTTATACAAACTTATCGTAGCGACTTGCCTTTGACAGAACGTTATCGTGAAACCCTTCCACATGTCACGGTCATGTGACACGTTTATCGAAGAATCAAGAATGGTATTGTGGACGACTTTTAAAGGCAAGCTTCTCAAAAGTGCCTCAAGAAAAGAAATATCTATAATTAAACAAAGAATACATCATTTTTACTGTTTTTTAATAGGTAAGTTACTTTACTTTCAATGTGCAAACTTTAACAAGAAATAATACAGACATGACATTAGAAGACGTAATAAGATAGCAGGCATATATTTTTTTTATATAACGTCAAGATAGTTGACGGTAGCCGGAGACATTTGCAACACCCGTGGGGTGCCATGCGCCGCCACCTTCTAATAAAGTGGGCCCCGGTTACCTCACTCACCAGACGAAACGCAGAATTATAACACTTCAACACACTATAACACTTCGACTTCGGGCCGGTCTTCTGTGAGATCGTGATACTTTTGCGGACGGACCTGCCCATTCGAATAGCAGTGTAGACAGATGCTTGGCCCATATTACTGTAATTCGATATATCAACCAATCTCGTAAGGAACATTAAAAAAAATCACATTAAATTGCGAAATACAACGATGTCAAGTAAGATTACGTTAGACTATAACATCAGTCTAAACTAAAACTAAAATGAATTTAACTACGTTCTGGGCCCGTGCCAAACAGCTAAATCATATTCCAGATTACACGGCCTAGGTTTTACGCTAGCAGAAGGCCGCAACTGTCCGATAACCGCCATACTATTTCACGGTAAAAAGTTAACAAACCGCTTAATGTAAAACATTTTAGTTTTAATCTTGAATAAGGCGGAAAAAGGAAAAGGTTCGTGTTCGAAACGTTTTTAAAACCTCGAACCAGAACCTCATTGGCCGTTACATAAATAATTAATGGAGAATATATTCAGTAGTAAAAACTAACCATATACGTGACCTTCCAATCCTTATATCCATCTGGAGATAAAGGCTATTGGTTCTATATATATAAATAAATTATAACATAATAATTAATACAATAATATAAATAAACCATTTTATTTTCCAGATCTATCGTTTTTACTTTAAACTTAAATTTACGGCGTATCGAATACTTTTTAGCATTTAACGTCATAGGGCATTTAATATACGTATCAATAATCGTTATAGTCCAAGCTCATAATCTGTATAGTCGAAGAATATCCAAGCAACAACTATAGTCGATATTGAGTGTAAAAATTATTATATATACTGTTAATTCTTTGTATTTGCAAAAAATAAACAACTTTTGCAAATACAAAGAATTAACAGTATATAAGACTAACGTATGCGTTATTTTTAGCTTATATTCTAAAATGTTGAGAGCACATTGAACTCGGTTTCGATTAGATTCGAACGACCTTGACGTCAAAAGAACACTTAATCAAAAATCAATAAACATGAACTTTATTGTTTTTCAAGCTTAATAAGTGCTTAGCAAAAGTCGATTGCTGAACAGAGGCCTCCATCAAAGAATGCTTCGGTACCGACCAATGAGAAGTTTAGGTCAACAGATCGCCTTCCGAATTTTTTTCATTTTGCAAAAGTGTGTTCTTAAGTCACTACAAAGTATAAAACAAAGTCGTCCCGCTGTCTGTCTGTCCCTATGTATGCTTGAAACTACGCAACGGATCTTGATGCGGTTTTTTTTTACTAGACAGAGTAATTCAAGAGGAAAGTTTATATGTATAATACATTGCACCCGCGCGAAGCCGGGGCGGGTCGCTAGTCTAGAATAAATAAAAACAATAGATTCCCTTAAGCCGGTCGGAGTTACGTGCAAACAGGAAGCAGGTGGACAGCTGAAAGGGCCGATGAATCGCTGGAGGACAGATGCGATCGGAGGCGGCCGACAGCTTTTTAATGGAACACCCGACTTCCTTACATGGTCGGATAACGCCGTACATCCGTACTTTTACTTTTAGGTTAAATTTATTAATTTTAATCATAAAATGTTAATCATAAAACGTACTTCAATTTTTCACGATAAACCTTACTGGGTCTATAATTAATAGGATAAGAAATGATATATATAGAATTACACAAGGCATAGGATGCACAGACGGTATCTCGTTACATGAGATTGCCTACACATAGTTGATATCAGGCCCCTAAATTTTTACATATAATTATATACAGAAATTGTTTCCGAAAACTGTACCAAGAAATATAATATATAATATATAAGTTTAACTAACTCCAGACTAACGGTTTTCGGTGCAAAATGCAAAATGTCCTGTTCATTGTTATAGACATTTTAACACCCAATCGGAATTTAAGATGTTAAGGTGGAGAAAACATAATTACAATAAACATATTTTTGTAGTTACGCCTATATTTGAGGTCTTTTAACTCAAAAAAAGTAGACAAGACTTAACATGTCAGTATGCATATTGAGTACCGAAACGAGACAGGTGGTGAGACTTGTCGCAATTTAACTTAAATTTAAAATATCTTCCAAAATCTGACACGGCAAACAAACTTCCCAGCGGGGACTGCAAAGTCTATTTATAGGATGCTTACGCCAACGTTCAAATCAGATGAACACCATTATGAATAAATACCTTTTTTTTAATTTCCCCAGACATTTTGTGAGAAGAAACTGAACGCACCCGATGCAGCCGCTGTGGGAACATTGTACGGAATATATGCTGCAATCCCGTTAAACAGGAGCCGTTATGATAATTCGGCGTAAGCGGAATGGCAGGCAATTTGAGTTGACGACGAAACGGGCCCGCGGAAAGCGGGAGACAGCAGATCCAATGTTTTTTTTTATAATGAGCTGATTTTGCTTGCCAGTTATGTCCATTGCACATAGCAAAGTTGCTAAAAAATCAGTAAACGATAGCAAAGAGAATTAAACGCACTTCCTTTTTATAAACATAAAATTGCTCAAAATGCAGCAAATTCTTGATTTAAAGGAGAGATGGTGTTTCGTCTGGTGAGCGAGGTATCCAGGCACACCTCGGGGCTTGAAGATGTCCATGGAGCGACGGTACTCACTCAAATACCACCCGGAACCGCCAAACTGTGCTCCCTTACCAATAATTACCTTAATGCCAGAGAAGTGAGAAAGAAGGGGTTAGAAGTTATTGTCGTGTTGAACGTTCGTAAAAACCTTACTCTTGTGATATGCTGAAATGCTAATGATTTCAGCCATTTTATTAACAACACGTCAAAATCAAATCAACGACACGCATATGAATATCAGGTAGGGCAAATCGGCACAAACCCATTTGTCTACAATTTGCACTTGCTACCGGGCAAACTATAATAAAGTGTCGCGATAAAAATCCTTCCTGCAAACGGCTAGGCCGTAAATCAACGATATGGATATATTCGTAAGATTTCCGTGGAAGTGTTCTTCGGGGCGTTTTCAGCGGTGAACCGTAATCGACAGCAGTTTCTCAAAACTATTGGTCTTTTCGAATTGGCACGGATAAAGCTCACGATGACGCCTTCTCATAACCTATATGATGTACAGTAAAATACATATGAAATTATTTTTGTAGAAACACCAAACAGTCACGTCATTTAACAGTAAGTAAGTAGCAAGTTAAAGAAGTAAAAAACGCTTAGAAAATCCATACACTACTGAAACGAGACAGACACAATTCAACGTATGAGATCCTTAGTAAAGATAACTGTCCTATAGAGAGGTAAAGGATAGGGCTATGAACAGGGAAGGATGGAGGGAGTTACACAACTGAACTACTGGAACGCTGCACCGACAAGAGCCTACCTCTTAAATTAAATTAAAGAAGTAAAGATGACAGTCCTTAGTAAAGAAAATATAACAATTACGCTGTGTAAGAAATGGGCAGGCTCAAGACGGGTGTAAAGTGTTATCATTATGCTTTTGCGTTTACAAAACCGCCAGTTCGCTTGCCCAAAGAAATACTAAATTGAACAAAGCAAAGAAGACGCTCGTGAAGGCCTCGTGGTTCCTGTGATATAAATTAAGTAATAGATGAATAATAAAATAAAAAAGGTAAAGAACAGAATGGAGAAGGTTGATTTAAAATATTATACCTTCAATGATTGCATCGATTAAATACTAGTACTACATACCAGAGCTAACCTGAATTATAAAACGAAACTCATAAACATGGCGTCACGAAAGTATACTTTGCGCCTAATATGTTTTTTATATTGTAAGTATCTATTTAAATCAACTTAATTTCACGCATTGTAACCTGCGCTTTCATATACGGTAGAAAATTGATGTCGATAATATTAAAACTTTAATATATTCTTTCTGCAGTATAAATAGGTAATCCATTACATTTGTTAAGTTCTGTACGTTAATTTAGTTGTGATTTTATGTAAACCTTTATTTTATGAAGCTGTTAGGTGTGAACTGTGAAGTTGTTAACGAATAAACTAACAAATGATATTACAGAAAGAAATAATAGATATATTGCAATAAACAGATCCTTCGGGACCACTATTGGACCAATGTTGAATTTGCAAAATGTTGAATTCCTAAAATGTTGAATTCGCAAAATGTTGATTCCCAAAATGTTGAAGTCGTAAAAAGTTGAATTTACTGGTCCCATAATGTTGGATTCCTAAAATGTTGAGTTCACTAAAAGTTGAACTTGCAATATGTTGAATCCCAAAACGTTGAACGCAAAAAAGTTGTATCCCAACAATGCGAACAACTATATCAGAGTATAATCTGAATTGATTAAAAAAATAAATTGAAATGTATTTTTATATAATGTACTTGTATAGATATTATAAATTATTATTGTGGGGATATTTATTTGTATTCTCGTCTGGTAGGGGTTATAAATAAAAATAAACATATGGATATAAACCGGTAAATATTGTATATTAAACCGGTGGACGATGTGGGTGTTATGGAGGAGCATCGCCTTCTGCATTTGAGCTTGGAGCGTTCCATCCCGGAGTCTCAGTTGTTCATAGAGGCTGACTGGGATCAACCAGGACTATCCGGATAATTTCAGTCAACACACCACCCCACATGTCGGTCACCTCGTGAGCCAGGTCCAGATATTTCGTCTTCTTATCTGTTTCGGCTTTCACGAGGTTCTCGTCATATGGGATGATAATGTCAACCAAAAATACCCGCGACTGTGCCCGGTTCATCAACACGATATCAGGTTTGTTCGCGAGAATCGAGCTGTACGTGATGATGGGCCGGTCCCAATAGAGCTTTGAGCGGTTATTGTCGAGCACGGCCTCTGGGTAGTACTTGTAGTACGGCAGTTTCCGATCCACGAGACCGTATTTCAGAGCGAGCTCCTGGTGTAGGATTCTGGCTACTAGGTTGTGTCTATGCAAATACTCAGTTAGAAAACATGGAACCACCGGAGATAACATGCCGAAGTGACACCCCGGGGTGGCGACAAGCTCGACAGATGTCAACGGTGCCATTCCTTAGGATGTATTTCCGATAGTTGTTCATCTTAATAACCTGATCCTGTATCGCACAGACAAAACCTTCGGTTTCCCCAAAGAGGTCACCGAAAGGTAGCCAGTTAAGGGAGGCAACAATGTGTACGAAAGGTTCGTGCAGAGCCTTGTACAACCTCTCGTGGAGCTCTTTCCCTTCCATATAAGAAAATAATTCATACCATATAATAATCCATTCCATATAATAATTCATTCCATACAAGAAGCTTCTTAAGTCTAAGGACTGAAAGAGTAACATGTTATACAAAAAAAACAAAAAAAAAATGTTACACAATTTTTTTTGTTCGATGTTACTTGGTTTTCGACTTTTCTTTTTCGATTTCCTTTTGTTTTGCACTATTTCGATATGTTCTATATAGTACCAAACAACACGGAACAATAATACCATACACCCAGCAATTCATTAGTTAGGATTCAACATTTCGCAACTTCAACTTTTTGCGAATTCAAATTTTGGGAATTCATCATTGTGACCCGGGTGGGAAATTCAACTTTTTACGACTTTTAACAACAACATTTGGGAATTTTGGACAACATTTTGGGAATCAACATTTTGCGAATTCAACATTTTATGAATTCAACATTTTGCAAATTCAACATTGTGGTCCTGAAGGAAACAGATGAGCCTATTAAAAGGTACTCCGGGAACAATAACTCAGACACGGGGCCCTATTACTGCGGAGGCCATAAATTATAAGAACCGATAAATCCCATAACTATTACGCCAATTAGGCAGCGGTCAGTGATCCCTAATCCTAAGCGCTCCGACTTCGCAGAAAAAGGGCTCTCGGGCGGGCTTATGCCGGGCGCGTTTCAAATTGATTTATACCCGACGATGAGCAGATCGGAGTTCTCGCAAAACTGAAGCGCTATACGGAGGCGACCCCGTGACTGGCAAGAAACTATTGTTAGTTCGCACTCGCAGTCGCGTACCGCAGTAGTGCCACAACTTATTGGTGGAGGGATTTGCGATTATAAGTCAGAACGCGCAACGATGCCCTGTTTTCGCCGTTATCGATCTTTCCCATTCGCACGCCGCTCCGCTGCCGGACGAACAATACGTTGAACGATACATACACAGCTCGACACAGAATATTTTTATTGTTTACATCGCAATCGGAATTGTGAAGTGTTCAATCAGGGTAGTCTTGGAATCGGGTTTCGGATTGCTGGCGAGAAATTATAGGCTATCATCATCATCGGAAGCCGGAAAGGATCATTACCGAGATGAGCGTAATCGGCCATACAGTCCGTGCTTAACTGTCCCATTAAATTGCTGCTATTACGTCGCGAAGAATAAACTATGTGCCACAACAGTTGGTATGGAGATATATTGATGAGGTGACGCATCAAGCGACCTTTTTCGCTCGCTTCAAAGGGTTCCTGGCGATCGACTTGTCCACTAGGCGGCGTTTGACCGGCGAAGCGCATTTCACCGAGCTACCGATGACAATCCTCTCCATCATCCGATACTGTTTGTCGTATAAAGGGCGCAACACCGCATAGCTGATGCCCAACAGTTTCCCCTTCGACAGCTCCTCCCTTATTACAGTCCGTTCGAACAAACGGGTCTTGATATACTTCAGCATGCGGTCTATTTCGACGTTGGTCAGCTTCAGTATCGCCGCTATGGCGACCTTGTCGTAGTCTTCAGAATCTCTGCACTCGATTTCGAAGCTGACGGTTTCGCCTTCGCTTGGATAAATCACCTGGTGGATTTGGAACCGATTGGGACCGGAGCCGGTCATTAGGGCGCACTTGAAGCCGTCTCGTTTGCCGACTAGGGAATTTATCCAATGGGCGTTGCGCTCAAGAGCCTCTAGAACAAAACTGATGAAATCGCTCACGTCTTTATGCTTCTTGAATGGCATTATAGCGGCCAACGCCGTATCTGGCAGGTTCTCCGGTTTGTGAACGTAATTACTTGAATGACTGTCATGCTTTATCGGAGTTTTCCTTGTGAACATTTTGGATGCGATGTAATCGTGAATGTGCAGCAACTTCGTTAATTTCTTCGCATCAATTTTGATACCTATCACGGGAATTTTTGTCGTATTGCCAAAACTAAATTTTTTTGACTGTTGACGTGTGACGTTGTCAAAACAAGTAATCCAGAGACAATAAGTTGTCGACTATATTAAAATAGGATTTATATAGCATAGTTAAGTATTATACGAGTATACCTTACATAAATCATCAGTGGTAGCCCGTATAATAATATGAATCAATAAAAAGAAATGGAATAGTCTTTTCAGAAAGATATACAATAATTTGCTAGTAACTGTTTTACCTACTAGGAGAGCCACTCGGGAAAATTGTTGTATTTTCACACAGTATTGTCCCATCGTGTTTGTCGGCGATGTCAATTTGCGGTACTGTTTGCAGTTTCTGTTTGCGTAGTGCTATCAGTAAGGATAGTCTCGACGGCTCCTGTAGCCCCTCTTCCGACTGGACATTTTGTAGGCAATGAATAAACAGTGAAATCGAAACATGACTATTAGTACGAAGTATATTCTTACCACCAGACCTTTGGTTTTGAGCTCTAATAGAACGGGTTAGTCATTACATGTAGGTATTACGACCTGTATATAATAGTGTCGTTTCGTATTCTAATGTATACATATAACGCTTTGAATTAAAAATAAAACGATTTATTCATCGAAGTAAGAAATGTACATTTCATCTATCGATATGACTTTTTAAATCTACCACCGTTTCGTAATGAGGGCCCTCTAACGGAGAAGAAACAGGCGAAAGAAACTCCGTAATTATCCTCTTTTTTATCATTTTTTTCTCTGAAACTATTATAATGTTATACAGTATATTTAACAACCTTTGTGCATTAATTGGGATAAATATATTTTCATGACATTTTTCTCATCCCTATCATACCATTTTGGAATTCAATAAATGTTCCGATATATAAGTAACGACACGCAAATTTATAACGTAGATGTTGATAATATTGAATTGCAAAAAAATTTTATTAAAAAATTCAATATACTGGTCGCGTGGTGGATTGTTCACTAAAGGACTCTGCACAAATGAGGCCATTGCCCAGCAGAGGGACAATTAAACATCAGGCTGGCATAATATTCATAGTCATGTATTAAAGAACTGCTTTCACTTCTAAATGCCCTCGAGCTAATCAAAGCCAACACACGAAGTTTACCGAAGCATCAACAAAACAAGCAATAAGCACCTGTTAGCGTAAATACGAACATTTCTGCTTTCTTTTAGAGTAATTAGCTAGCGGTTCTCCGCAGTTACTCCGTCGCGAACAATGGCCTTTGTGATGAGCATTGTTTTGAACAAATCACTTATATCTGATCACTGCCCGAACAATACAAGAGCGCTCGGCGAATTCCCGACATAAATGTGCCTTGCAATTCGTTTCGACCAAAACGTATTTTCATCGTAACAGTTAATGAAAATAAGCACTCACTCCTGTCCGTGGGTAGGCAGAATTACGGATTTCTTATCGAAATAAAAATAGCTATGACCGCACAATTCACGTTCAAGATAAATTGCATAAAAAAACTGGTTTTTATTTTTTTGATACTCAAAACTCACGATAAACACTAACTACTTTCCATGTAGTAAGAACAAGAACATTTCAGTAAGAAACTCATTCGTTTAAATATTAAATCAAATAAAATAACTACAAACAGCAAATTAAATATCGCTACCGAGTAAAATCTATGAAAATAAAGATAAAGTTAAATTAAAAGGAGTTCCTTTGCGCTTTAGCAATTTTACATTTGAAAAAAGTGTGACGAAAAAAACCGAAAACGTTTTATTACAAAAAAATAATAAACGAAACTAGGATATTTATAAGCACCAACGTACTTTTATATATATCTGCACTCATTGCTTGGGTAGGCAGATACGGATTTCTTATCGAAATAAAAAGCTTGACCGCATTCACGTAATAAATTGCATAAAAAAGGTTTTTATTTTGTGTTGACAAAGTTATTGACGTTCCTATTAACCTTTGCGAAATAATAACCATTTGTAAGCGGTACAATTTCAAATAGAAACTGTATTTTAAAAAAGCAATGACAATTGATTCTATTAAAGAAATATAATTATTCAAACGATTGTAAATTATTCTAATAATATCAGCCAGAATAAACCGGCGCTTTGTAAAATACGAATAAGAGTTATTGAGATATTGCCTTTCAAAGAGAAATAACGAACGAGCACCAATGAACATCGAGGTCACCGTATAAGTATAAACGTATAGCACAATACTGCAGGCATGATCGAGTCCATCAGAGGTTAGAACTCGCACCAAAACAATGTATAAACTTACCAAAAAGATTATTCTCACAGAGCATCCCGTTACTAGATTCGCTTCAACAGTCAACGGCAAAGATGTCTATACAGATACACACACACAGATACGCAAAACTGTTGTAAACGTCATTTCAACCTTAAGATCACTAATTACACCTTTTAACCTTATTTATAGACACTGTTAACAATAGTACACCTGTCATACTACTAATTATATCACATATTACGAGCACAGGTTTCTAAATGGCCATGAACCATATAAAAAACGTATTTTTTCTCCAAAGACGATCTAATCACCACTCCTTTTCTCTCACGGATTTCTATGATAGCGAACAGCTGCGGTGCGTGGTTGTATCAAAACAAATACTAGTAGTGCCATCTATGAACGGTTGATAAGTTTAAAACTTTTCGTAGAACGTTTACCAGCATAACATTTGTTAATGGTACAACTTTTTATTAAGAGATGGCGCTTTATGAGAATTTATATAAACTGATTATCACAGTCTAGTAATGTCCGTAAGTGATACATAATATATTATTTGATTGGGAAGTGTACTGTATTCATTTCTTTATTATGCATTTATCAACATTACGTATGTAATGTTCATATTTTATGATAGGTAGATTCACAAAAAAAATCAGTTGCCAAATTCAATTTTATTCATCGTCAACATCCTTTTACTCCGACAACGATATTATTCTTTTCGTATAATTAATCATTTTTTTTATCTAAACATTGATTTCTTTATAAATTCATAGACAATTTTTAGTTTTTTTTATAAAATCCCTACATTGACGATTTTTAAAAATGGACCGTGTTGGTAAAAAAATAAAAAATAAATAACAAATTATTATTTATTATTAATTAGTAGGGGATTTTAAGGAAAAATAAAAAAATAAAAATAAAACTCCGCCGTAACAGTGTTCAAACACTGCCGTGACCAGGATTCGAACCTGGGTTACTACGGCCACAACGTAGGGTCCTAACCACTAGACGATCACGGCTATCGGAGCGATAGCGCTGACAACGAAAATTAAAATCATATTATTAAGAATTCATTTTTAATTGTTCTTGCAATTGTTATTCTAAATTTTTCAATAAAAAGCCATTTTAAACCTGAACTTCTACAAGCTTTCACTATAAACTCATAATTAGAAAACTTACTACACAAAAATCGATTACAAGCAATTTACTTGTTAGTCTGTCTCCACTAATCACGACAGAAGACCCACTGGCACGGCATTATTAAGTATGTGAACTAGGAATGCAATATCGCTCATAAAAATCTCCGAAAGATTTAAAAGTGAAACATCGAGGTTAAAAATATCGAAGTTTGAACGATATATGGATATTTCTTATCACCATTTAAATATATATAAAACATACAACTAAGAAAAATACCTTTAATATTAATATACTTATTGTAAAATTAGATTAGTTTACAATCAAACGTCAATAATTCGGAGTTTACGATGACATATACATTTATATTGATTTCATATTAATTTTTGACCATTATATCAAATATTATTGAATTAAACATTATATTATTTAAATTATTATAGAAAGTTTTTATCGACCAATTGTCAATATTTATAAAGAAAACAGTAACAAGTAATAATCAACTTTTCTTAAAAATCTATATATATATATATATATATATATATATATATATATAGATTTTTAAGATTTTTAAAATGAATTCACGCGTGAATGGCTGGACCCATTTCACTTTTTTTATTTTTGTTGTATTTGTTATTATCAGGAGAAGGTTCTTATGAAAGAAAAAAATTAAAAATTGCCTGAAAGTCTAAAAACTTCTATATTCCTATACAAAAGATTCGTAATAATACTTATTTTTTATGTTTTAGTTAGGTAGTGCATCAATATTTTATAGCAGCTCCAAATGTGACTTGTGTTATCGCCTTTCCCGATTCGTCCGAAGACTCATTTGTTACATTTGCGTTTTTGAGGTGAACGTCAAACAAGATAATCACACCAGGGAAGTCCTCCACGTCCGTACAATATCCAGATAATCTCGTTTTATTAAGTGTTCGCCATAAAATTCACCAACAGCGTTTCCGCGCCAGACTGCATAAAATTTTAACAAAATATGGGATTTAATTAGAAACAATGCCAATCTTATTGTACAATATCAATGGAGCGCTAAAATTTTAAACATTTTGTGATATATCAATATTTTTATTTACTCTCCCACTACCACCTAAGTTACATTCAGGTAGGTAATTAACATTACCTTGTGATTTTGTGAGAAAAAGGCCATTCTGCGGCTTTCTATTTCCTACTTATTTACAATAATATACTTATTATTACTCAATTTATATAAGAGTACCTAAGTACTCTTGTATAAATTTTAATACATTGAATCAATCGAAATCAGATTCATCCTGCAAGCATCAAATAGTCAGTATTTGTAAGGGGAAGTATTAAAATTCCCCGTTTTGTCTGGTGACTGAGGTAACCAGGACCAACTTTTTAAAGGTTACTAACACATCAGAAAGCCATAGCGGTATGTAGATGTCTATGCGTAGTGGTATTCACTTAACATCAGGTGAACCGCCTGCTCGCTAGACAAAGTTTCACATAGACATTAGCACTATTCCGTAAATCCGTAGCATTACTGTGCCAACGCCTCGGCGTAACTGT